CTTTCAGCTCTGTTCTCTAAGCCCTCCCTTCTGCTTTCAGCGCAGGCAGGTAGGGTTGCTCACAGATTGTGAGATGCCCCAGGCCTATGATTTTTTAGAGGGTGTATCAGATATGGACTCAGTTTCCTGCCTGTTAAGTCTGATACTTATATCTGAACTGTCTGTGCTAGATCCAGCATTGAGGAGGGGCTTCTGTCTCTCCCAGTCTGGTGAGATCACCTTAAGTCTCAAGTTGGAGACTGGGCAAAGCTAGGCAGAGCTGGGCAGGGCAATGCCGGTCTCTGCCTGGTCCTGGGATAGAGAAGATTTCAGTTGGCATTTCTTTACCAGGCATGGGGCTCCTCTCTGGCTTTCCCTGAGATTCTCTCTCACTGATTAGACCAGTGCTCCAGCTGATCCACTATAGCAGGTGTTGGTGTGGGCCAGGTGCCAGGTGCTGAAAATCAGCTTGACTCCACAGTCTCTTCTCAGGAGCATATCATGAACAATCTTTTGAGACCGTCATCCAATCTCAGGGTTGTGGGGTTCTTACCACTTTTTAATGGGGCTGTTTTTTTGTGTTTTTGTGGCACATTTCAGTTTTTTGTAGATTAATATTTTAGTCCTCTGTCAGATATACAGTTGGAAAACATTTTTTTTCCATTCTATAGGCTGTCTCCCTGTTCTCTTGATGTTTTCTTTTGCTTTTCAGAAACTTGTCAGTTTGATTTGGTTCCACTTGTCTATCTTATTTATTATAGTATGGGCACTTTGTGTTTTGATAAGAAATTGGTTGTCAGTTTCAATTTTCATAAAGTCTTCTGCATTTTTTACAATTCTTATAGTTTGAAGATTTACATTTATGCGTTTGATCCATTTAGAGTTAATTTTTGTGTTGGTGATAGGTAGGGGTCCTGTTTTAATCTTTTGCAAGTGATCAGTCAGTTTTCCAGCATCATTTACAGAATAGCTTCTCCTATCCTCATTTTTTGCTGTTGGAGACTTTCTCAAATATGAGTTGATAAAGAAATTGAGACTTTACTTTGAGAATCTGTTTCCTTTTTCGTTGCTCTGTATATCTAATCTTGGACCAATATCAGGCTATTTTGACTACAGCAGTCTTATATTAATGGTTGAAGTCTGGAAATGTGATACCTCCTGTTTTCTTTCATTTGCTAAAGATTTTTTTGGTTATTCTTGCTCATTTATGTTTCTCTATGAATTTTTGTGTTGTCACTTCTGGGTCTGAGAAGAACGTTGCTGGTAGTTTACTGGGTATTTTGTTGAATCTGTAGATTGCCTTTGGTAGGATGGACATCTTAGAAATGCTGATTTTTCATGACCCCGAATATGGAATATTTTCCCATTTGTTTGTATCTTCTTGGATTTCTTTGAACAAGATTGTGAAGTTCTCATTGTAAAGGTCTTTCATTTCACTAATTATGAAGGTGCTGAGGTATTTCGTTGATGTTGTTGTTGTTGATGGTTTTGATATAGTTAAGGGGATTGTGCTTTTTATTTGCTTCTCTGCCTGCTTGTTTTTGGTGTTTAAGTATGCAACTGTCTTTTGCACATTAATTTTTTACCCCAAGAATTTGACAAGGCTCTTTATCAGTGCAAGCAAGTTTTTGACAGATTCTCTTGGATTTTCAAGGTATAGCATCATATCCTCAGCAAAGAGGGATAACTTGACCTTTTCTTTTCTGATTTGCTAACCCCTTGTTTCCTTTTCTTTTCTAATAGTCCTAGCAAGGACTGCCAACCCAATGTAGAACATGAGAGGTGAGAATGGCAATATTGTCTTGCTCCAGTTATCAGGGGAAATGTTTCCAGTTTCTGTATATTGAGCAACCTGTTAACGGTGGGGTTATCATAGATGGAACTTACTATTTTGAGGTATTTTCCTTCTATACCAAGGTTTCTGAGGGTTTTTATCAAGAAGGGATGCTGAATTATCCAAATCTTTGTTGGCATCTAGTGATATAGTCTTGTAGTTCATGTATTTGCATCTATTGATGTATTTAATTACATGTATGGTTTTGTGACGGTTGAACCAGCCCTGCATCCTGTGGATGAAGCCTACTTGGTCATTATGGATGATGTTTGAGATGTGTTTTTGATCCCATTTGCTAGAGTCTTGTTGGGGATTTTTGCATCTATGTTCACAAGGGATATTGGCCTGAGGTATCATTTTTTGTGTGTGGTTGGATCTTTACCTGGTTTGGTGATCAGTGTGATTTTAGCTTCATAAAACGATTTGGGGAGAATTCAATCTCTCAATTGCCTAGAATTCTTTTAATAGGATTAGCACCATCACCTCCATGTACGTTTTGTAGAATCCTGCTGGAGTAATCCTGTCCAGGGCTTTTTTGTAGCTAGTTTTCATAGGATAGTGTAAAATTTCCTGGGTTGGTATTGGTCTATGAAGTGTCTTGGTGTCTTCTTGTTTCAACCTAACGAGGTTGTGTGATGTCAGAAAGTTCTTCATTTCATTTATGTTCTCAAGTTTTTTTCCAAATAGGTGTACATAGTGATCTCTGATAATCATTTTTATTTCTTCAGGGTCAGTTCTGATTTGATCTTTTGCATTTCTGAATGTGCTTATTAAGACTGTTTCTTTCTCTTTCTTGGTCTTTCTGGCTAGGCATTCATCAATCTAGTTAATTCT